TAAACTAAAACGGAGTAGTTCTAATTGTTATGTTCCTTAAGACCTTTTCGCTATTCAATGATGTCAGACAACAGAGACGAACGCGGATATATATCGGGTACAGCTCATCCGGATTAACCGATCGGAAACGATGCTACCGACCCATCATTGACCAGAATCAATCCAGGTCAAGTCTTATTAAAAACGTACGGTAGCCAGTAAACTCGACAGAGTTAATTCAAATAGGACCAATTGTATTCAACTCACAACTACTTGTGAGTAGTTTTGTGGGATAATTGATATTGATTGATTGATTGATTGATTAGAAGTGGCGATCATGGTTGACACGCTGGTAACACACTCGCCTTCCATGAGATGGATCCGGAGTTCAGCTCCCGGACGGGACGGTGGATGTGCACTACTGATGAGCTCTAATAAGAGTGAAACTCGAGTCCAGTGCTTCCGATTGTGGTCTGGATGAGTTGAGGAATGTGCTTGAAGGTGAAGTCTGAAAGATGGTCAGTTCTAATCAATCACTCGATCAATCAAAGACAAATTGTGTTCGAATATCAAGTGACTGTGTTTCATTATTCTGTGGAAACCAACCTCTTAACACCTCAATTGGATGCAAAACCTCGGTCAAAACTATGTTTCAAAGGTGAAATTCGTCGTGTGTATGGCAAATGAAGCATGAATTGAAAAGCTAGGAAGCACTGCTGGACAGCTGTTTCGACCTGGTTGGGTCTCATCCGTGCAGTGAGTGAATCCAGCGACCCAATTGGGGATCGAACCCAGGTCCTCATGGGCAAAACGTGAGCGTGCTACCCACTCAGCCACCGAGCAACCGATCAAACTGTCGGGTTCAATCTCCAGTTAGGTCGATAAATTTGCTCACTGCTCGGATGAGACCTAACCAGGTTGAAACAACTGTCCAGTACTTCTTAGCTTTTCAGTTCATGCTTCATTTGCCCTATGCATGACTAATTTCACCTTTGAGATTGAAGCAAATCCTCCATTACTTAAATGAAAGAAAAATACGTTGTTGGGGTAAGCAATATGGAGAACAAATCAGCCGTCTTGCGCGGCTAACACCCTGAATGGAAAGAGACCGGTAAACCTGGTTGTCTGGCAATCGCATTTATGAACGAGGCTGACGAGACCACATGCGACTCAGCGATTTGCAATCATGTTGTAACCGGTCTATGACATAGGTGTCCACGATTTGTTGTCGAGACCAAACGAAGACACGTACAACTCCGCATGCGCCCACCCGCCCGGCCGCCCGCTCGCACGCACGTACCAACATGCGTTCACGGATTTTGCACCTGCCGGGTCAACCGGCCTGGCGGCAAGTCATCAAACTGTCAGAAATGGTGAAACATACCGGCCCAAGCCGAGGTTGTGTACAAATGTGTATCACCATGTCTAGCTAGGACTTGTGTGCTGTGTGTATGCAGGAGTGCTGGTCTCGCTCGCTCCGGACGCCACGATCCGTCCCCATCCGTCTGTCTAATTGCCAAGAGTGTTCGCGTCATACAAAGTTTTCGTCCACCTGGACTGACTCGTCGTCACATGACTAACTACTAGGTTACGTTTTCCATCTGGGTAAACATTCCCCCTGCTATCCGAGCTACCTGTTTTTTTTTCGCGGTGCTCCACTGGGCGTCTACTATTATCCGGTCGGTGAGTAGTCACTTACGGGCGGAAAATGAACCGATGGAATAATCAACCTCCAGTTCACATACTACTGTTACTGGATATACGGAGCGGAGCGTGGTTCTGTCGCCCGCGCCAAAGCCTTGTTCTCCGTGAGCATACAGAGCCAGTTTTGTTTTTGTTCAGTACAGGAAACGGACGTTGGTATTGGTATCGGTCAGTTTCCGGTCACAAATATCAATATCTCTGTGGCTTAAACGGTTTTCTGTCACTGAAAAATCCAATTCCACCAAATAATTGTCGGGCCGTTTGTAAAAAATCAGATAGGACTAGGTTTATATTTTGGTCCATACGTAGCCTCGCTGGACTGCTGTCGGAGGTAATTTGGTTCACAAATCCGCATTTTTGACCGACATTATTGGAACAATATGGAGCTCATAAACAGCTGAACACATTTCGTGTAAACAGATGGATTTCAGTGTCACTTTGTGTGACATAAACAGAATGGTCGATATGTGACCGTTAGATTTGTAACTCTTCTTGCAATTAAAAGGCAGTCCGAAGACTGGTGTTGAATTGTTCTGACCTTAGTCTACTAGGCGAGTCACCTGACGGGTAAGTGTCTGGCAAGCTCAATACTCATTTTGGTTGGCGGCTGAAGAGGTTATTTTGGCATCGCAGTTGTTCGTACTCCCTAGAGCTGCCACACGTTCTATCAATTGTCAATTATATTTCCACATCCAATCGATGGAATAAACGGGAAGTGCTGTGTGGCGTAGTTATAGGCCGAGCTGAGAAGTACTGTGTGTACATTCGTGGTTCGTTTGATTCGTGACAGTGACGGCGCAAGCTGCAGGGTCTTGTGCCCCATCTATCAAACAGATTTAAATTCGGTTGTATTGAGAGCTCAAATCTAGCCGCAGCTCATTCGCACCGCATGTCACGTGACTGGTTGGTCGCGACCTCGTCAAACCTAATGATTATTGATCTATATTTCACCCACTGACAAAATTACAGTCAGCCCGTTCCAGTTGAGTGACTTGCGTTCTTCGAAAACCAGGGGTGTGTAGCTACAGCATCGGTACTGGTGTGTGCATTAGCTTTCGTTCAGCAAAATCCCCTATTGGTTTGTACCAATGCCCCCACAAAAGTTCCCTAACCTTGTTTTCGGAATGCGTAACAAGCGACACAAATATGGCATTGATTGATTGGTTCGGTGGCTGATTTCTCTTTGGAATCCTCAAGCCTGATATCCTTCGAACAAGACAGAAGAAGAACACATCTCATTGGAATTGTGTTGAGGTACCAATACTCAAGTTGTTCTCCTTCGGGAGTTTGTGCTTCAATCTCTGCGGTAACAACTTCGTGAACATGGACAACCAGGTGATTACTGCATCAAAATTGGCAAACAAAGAATCCACTGGTTATGTAGATAGAACAGGGAAATGGCTATGCTGAGAAAAGAGTTAAGTGTTATTTCTTTTATGCGGCTTTTCCGTTCTCTTGATCACACATCAGATCACTGTCGCTGTGAAGTTTGTATTCTGATGTTGAAAAGTTCCAGCAAAAAATATGGTTAAAAAAGTACACTGAGCTTTGAGAGAATGTTGTCCTCATGTGTTGGCTGTCTAATGCTGCAACAGAGGCCTGGAAATCTACGACGGATTCGCTGGAAGTGGCTGGAAGTCAACGGATTAAATC